TTCGTACTCCAAAAATCAACCCCTTTGCACCCGAAAATTTGCCCCACTTGAATATTGATTTCTTGCGTAATCTTTATGGCACGCCCGCGAGCCTAAATAGTTAGTAACTGGGCTCCGTTCTGGTACCGCCACCGTAGCCGCCATTGACGTTTCATATTTATTAATGAGGCGCATTTGTGTTTGGAATTTATAATTTGACATTGGGAGCCGGGGGACCACCTAAATTTGTGGGTGTGTATGTGGGCTGTTGTTCCTGCCGTTCCTTCAGCTCCTGCTGCTGCTGCTCCCGCTGCTGCAGGCTGTGCATAAATGTAATTGAGTAATTAACATAAATTAGAATAATTTGCGCCTAACTCTATGCTTTTTGTGTAATTATTGACGGGTAGGCGGCAGCGTAGGTAAAATTAGATTAGGAAGTGGTAAGCGGGCCAGGGAGTGGGGGGAAAAGTTTTGAATTTTTGCACTTGCATAAATGAGAATTATTGTGCTGTATGTGTACAAAGGGTGATAAGCAATTTATGTTGAAAGTTTTGCCTTGCAATCTCACACAAAGCAAAGGCAGCGACTTGGCACAAAAGCAGACATTTTGGCAATCTGTGCTCGGGGCCTCATGCTTGCCATTTCATATAAATAAATATATATATGTATTTGTTTGTTTGTGTGTGCGTGGAATCAACTAAATCAGCAAAATCTTAAATGATGTTTACACAGCGCCAAACAGCAAAAACAATCGACAGCTCAGCCCAAGACGATGACGATGGCACATCATCAAAAGCAGCTGCCAAACAGTTGCAGTTCCTGTTACATCGTCGCACAACTCCTAACCGGCAAATCATCCAATACGTCGCACAAAAATTATATAAGAAACAAAAGCCGAACACCAAACATCCTTCTGAAAAGAAATCTTCATTGTTGTACGCTTTGAAATTAGTCTGATTGTAGCGCTTAAGCCTTTCTCTATCCAAAAGACAACACTAGTCGTACAAAGTAAATCAAGAAATACATAAGCATGTTTATATTAATGGAAAAAAGCAAAATAGCCACCACCTGCACATTCCTGCTTTATTCTTAAAACTTAAAATTTATTTATAAATAATAATATCAAATATTTAATTGTACTTAAGTTACACAGTACATCCATTCATCTTTATATCTTGTTATAAAATGTTGGGTTCATATTATAGTAAAACATTTTTCCTAGTATAAAAAGTGTACTTGCAGCGTTTTAAGGAATTCTTTTAAGATACATTTGAAGTTTTCATTTGGCTCCACCAGAAATATGTTTCTTTAGTTCTTAAAATTGTGGCTTTAATTAGAAACGTTAAAACCATGTGAATCAATCAGATTGTGGTAATTGGAACATATTCGAATATCTGAAATATATTCACAGATGAGCATCTAGTGAAACGTTTGATTCGATGACGGATTAGTCTGAACATGATTTATGAGCGCTCCATGAGTTACCATCATCATGACTGGATAAATATACCCTTTTGTAAGGGTACGAAAAAACAAACAACTCGTCAACAACACGAGGCACGAGGCAAAAACAAAGGCAGGCACAATTTTCTACACTTTCCAACGCACATGGCACAGCTTCCCTCCAAGGATTTGTAGTTGGAGTCAGAAGGCAGCCATCCGTCAGAAGTTAGCGACAGGCAGGCACACACACACACACACACACACACAAAGACATACTATACGAGTACACATGGATAGAGCACGCCATGTTGAATTTCGCAAAACGTTGCTGCGTCTCTGGTTGTGGCTGGACTGCGGGTTGAGAGACGCCACCTTGTTGCTCCCCAGCCACCATCCACATATAAGTAAGTATGCATAACATAACACACATACAAGGACATATAGAGCAGCGTGCCTGTGTCCTCTGCTGGGATTTCAACGTGCCACAAAATGGCAACTCTGTGCATAATTTTGCTCGCTGTTGTCATCTCTCAGAGGCGCCCGTATTTATGTTTTCTGCGTCGTCATGTAAAATGTAAATAAATATGAGCAGAAAAATCATTGTGCTAGATTGCTTCTCAACTAAACAATGCCAATGTTTATGCGTATAGGTGGACCTGGAAAATGTTAGCTGTCCATTATTGCCTTTATTAATTTCTTACAACATGATGTTTTTTGGAAAAACAAAGCATTACTTAAATACTCCTGTTTAGCTAATGCTTGAATTTAAAATTATTTTATACTAGCTTTTTAATGTACAAATTGGGTTTCTTTTTGCAATTCTAATAAAAACTATGATTTATGTAGCAAACTTTTCTTTGGCAAAACTAAGACTCTGTAACAGTCATGTGGTTGGAGGAGTGAATTCGTTATGTGAATTCAATCGAAATATGTTAATAGAGAGGTCATAAGTTGATGAAGGAAACAATCCAATGTTAACACAGAGTAGATCATTAAATGTATACCAGTATTTATATATTTATGCTGGAACCGCACAAATATTCTCCACCTAAAATTATCAATTGCCAACGATGTATCAACTAAATTACATTTGAAGAAATCTATGGGACGTTTGTTTCACATAGTATGAAGCATATACTGAAAAGGTTTTGTTCTGTAAAATCATACTAATGTAAAAGTCTTAAGTATGTTTTTAATGCTATTTTATGTAAGTAATAAAAACTAGTGTCCGCTTATGTTAAAAAAGGTTCTGAAACCTTTTATCTTGCCAAAATTCAGTTATCCTGTTTCAACAAGCAACTGCTGTCGATAAGTTTCACATTAGGAATCGAAATAAATATATAAATAATATATATACTTAATAAAACACAAAGAGAAATAGGTGTTTGGAATCGTTATGAACAGTTCAAGAAATTCAAACATATGATAAGTTTTGGTGTAGTGATGATTTTACTCCAAATTTGTTTCTTTTGCATGAGGTTGCTTTACTTTTTAGCTTAACATTTTTAAATTCCTTATGTAAAATAATTGTGATATCAGTCACGCATAAACTTAACACTCGTGCGTAAGTCTGCCTCCCGCTGACACTCCACGCAAAAGGGATGGCCAACACGCAGCAACAACGCACAAGAGCTTCAAACACTTAGTCGAGTGTTTTGCTGCTTACCCAGCTATCACCAACAGCTAGAAAAGCAACAACAACAGCAACAACAACATAAATATCAACACCGGCAGCAACACCAACACCAAAACCAACAATAACACACAAGACACAAAGAAAACTCGACAAGTTAAGCGTCAAAAGTTTTTGATAGCCTGTGAGCCGCCTACTCGACCGCTTAGCTGCTGTTCCAGCTGCTGTTGCTGCTCCTTCCCGCTGCTGCTCTCAAGACGAGGCTTTAGCCTGCCTATCGACAACGACGACACATTTTTCATTTTTAGTTCGGCAAATTTTGAACACGAAACTTTTATGTAAAATGTCTTTTGCAAAGATAAAAGTTTAAATTGTCAATTGAAAATGTTGGCAAAAGTTTTTTGATTAATTTTCACTGCGCGGCGCGTTGACAATGAAGTGGAAGCCAAGCGGTGATGGCGATGCTTACTCGTAAATGTGAAAGTCTAAACATTTACATGTTCTTCAGTCCTTCAGTTCTTCAGTCAAGAAGAGAGTCGCTGGAGAGGCAAACAAACAATTGGGCACATTAACGCAGGAGCAATGAATAGACAAGAAGGCAGACAATGAAAGAGAGCAAACGATAGCGATTTGCATGTGAATGTGTTGAAATAGAATTTAATGGCGGAAAAGAACAAAACACAAGTGGAGAGGAAATAAATAAAAATAAGCTGCAAGACCTGCAAATGTTGAGGCATCTTTCTTGTTGGTTTTCTCTCCTCTTGCGTTCATGTGTTCATTGCTGAAAAGTCGTTTGCTTTTCCTCTCAATGCCTTTGTCAAACTCATTTTCTTTGCTTGCCTACTACTCCAAAGATCACCCCAGCCCACCCCCTCATCAGACCTTTCCAAAAGCCATTTTCTACAACTTCCACACGATTGATTTCGCAAATTTTCGCCGCAACAACCCCACACGACTGTAGCAGCTTCCACATTTAACAGCGCCTGCCTTGGGCCACAATTACCCAAAAAGCCAAAACCAATCCCTGTACTCACACTCCTTCACACACACACACACACACACACACACACACGCACATGTGTGTGTGCTATTTTGTAAAGGTTCAGCATGGTTTTCGGCTCTGTTGGCTTATGGTTATCAGCCTAGATCTCTAATGCAATTAAATTGTCCCCCTCGACCTACCCCTCCGCTGCTTAACACACTTCCCAATCAACCCTCGCCGCCTGCTGTGCAATTCATAAATATTTTATTTGCCATCGCACCCTTTGACCTGCCCAATGCTCATAACTTTCCCTACGACAAAATGGATACCGAAAAACGAAATATTCGTACTGGTAACGGAAAAAAAAAGAAAAAACGAACTGATGGGCATTACGTATACGTACACGCCAAAGTAGCCCATTGGTATCTAATATGCTGCTGCCTACTTGCCTCATTATTACTTAACGCCCGGGCAATGTTAAGCAAATTGCTTTTCGTCGTTCCCATTCGTGCAACTGTCCGTAGTCGGCGTTCACATTAGAGTATCCGCTTCCGCTTAGCTGTCTCCGTCCGATTGCTACCCCACCGAGTCTGTCTGTGCCGGTGTGCGAGTCCCTGTATAACAAATGGCCTGTGGTATGTGGCAGCAAAGGGTTAAAAGGTGCGGTTAGCCACGTTTCACGTCATGCTCCATACGTTTTTGTTGTGCTCGCATGTTGTGTTGCATAGTTTCGGTTGCCGGTCAGTAGAAGACAACCCCACAAATGGGGCTCAGCTGCAGTTGTTACTTTCCTGCCCCTGTCCCTGCCTGCTGCCTACTGTCTACTGATGTTTGCTTTACGTGGGGGGATTTACTTTGATGTGCCAAAAATTAATTGCCTACAATTAGGGGCGGTTTTTTGCCACCAATGTCAGTCGCCCAAAGGTAGAGCAAACAAAAGTTGTAAGAATTTCTGACACTTACCGTTGTTGTTACTGTTGTTTTAGGCAGCTTAAGGGATTGCACATCTGTAAAGGTAAAGAGGAAAAATTTCTGTTAGCAAAAAGTTTGAAGAGCAGAGCAAAAGTATCTAGAAGAGTTGTCCACAGTTCACACTTGAGGCTGACAAAACACATGCTGTTGCAACAACTACAACTACAACTACAATACTACAACAACACTTGCAGCATTGTCTGTCGCATGCAGCAAAGCGAAGTAAAGAGAAGTAAAGCAAAGTATGGCATTGAGAAGAAAAAACTTTCTTGAACTTTGCTTCGAGTCCAGACTTTTCCTAATGAAAGAAAAGTCTGTGTCGTTGACGGAGACGCAGACGGAGACTGACTGCAAACTTTCTTCATGGACTGCCACTGACAACGATGTCCAGTTAGGCTAGAGCAGCGCAGTTACTTTATTTTTATTGAAATAAATAAAAGTAAACGATCATGGGAGAGACACGCGCAGACACCCAGTTCATTTCAGTCTCTTCCCTCACAACCCAAAAGTTTTGCGTGCCAACCAGAAATTACATTTTCCTTCATGCCATTGTGCTGGCTGCCCGCGGAGTGCTCCCAGTAGACCTAATGGCACTCACACATCCGCACAGTCCATTCCATTCGACTGGCCAGTTCTTCTTTCACGCCGCAGCGCAGCCCCAAAGATTTATTATCAACTGTCATTTTTGTTGCTACAACTACCAGCCACAAAACATTTGTTATAATCAAAAGCCTGGCAAAAACGAAGTGCAAAAAAGTTTGGCCCAGAAGATTTGCGCTGATTGCACTGCCCAAGCTTTGATTTGATTTCTTTGCTAAGCTCTGGCACAGCAAAAAAAAACTATTGCCCTGCAACACGGCGTATGCGCAATTTGTTTGGCTTAGCGTTGACAGTTCAATAACCAGATGGCTGCTAAATCGTTCGCCTTGCGTCTTTAATTTTCATAAATAACGAAAACTTCAGCTACCTGGCACAAACTTCTAATTACGCATACGCAGCGTGGCAAAGTTCCTTAACCTGAGTACACATTGCAATAACTCGTGTTACAGTTCCCACACAACACAACCAAAGGCTGGCGCACAATGGTGTCAAAACTCTACTTCGATAGAAAAAAAATCAGCAATAGTATTGGAAGAAGAACAATTTTCTTGACTAAGCATTGAAAGTATTGCCACAACAGGGAGTGGCACATTTGTGGATGGGTTGGGAGTAGCGTTTGGGATTCATAGATTTAAATTATTTTTGAATCATCAGAACAGAGTTAACTCTAATTCTATATTTTTCAATTTACAATTTAATTTACCTTACAAAATCGCTAACCATAAAGCGTGAGTCATTCATGTTCTATTTCGTCACACTGTGCACTGCCGCATCGTAGACAAATTTGCCAAAATCGAGCTCGCTTTGCCTGGCGCGCATATATCGTTTTAACATTATTTCTGTGGCAAAATTAACTTTATGAACTGTTGAGCATGCGGCGAACTAGGGAGCAAGTAGCTAGCAGGGAAGGCAGCTAGCTAGCGAGCCACCCCTAGGAGCATGGGGCCCGCAACCTGCCACTTAAAACAAATAACAAAGTTTTGCTTAACTTTGCGGCAAGTCGTTCCCTTGCTTGCTCACTCGCTCGGTGCCGGTTCCCCAAGGAACTCTGGACGAGTCGCACGCAAGGAAGGACAAGAAGAAAGGCAAAATTATGGCCAGACACAAAGAAATGGCGGCGTGTGCGGCTTTTGTCTTGAAGGAAAAGCAGGAAATCATCAGCATTGGCTGAATGTCTGGCGGAGCTCCTGAAGGCAAAATTACATATGGAAGTGGATTTCATTGAAAATAAGTTGCAGTCCATAGTAAAAGACGTTTAACGAGGCAGGAAAGCACAGGATGGCATAAGGCACAAGCTATGGAAAGTAATGCAGCTGACGCGTCAAGCAAATAATGCAAATAATATACAACACAGTTGAACTGCTGTAAAAGGAACCAGCATTTGAGCTCATATTAATATTCCATATACTTAAAACTTTGATAGCAAACTTGTTTTTAAAAAATACAACTATTAAGGGCTTCCCTTTCAATTTTTTATTCAATACATTATTTTGATATACACCTTGCCCTCGCTTAACGCTAACTCTTTTAATGCTAACGCGATTGCCAAAATTGCTACCTTTTCTCTTTTAACGCGGTGAAATACCTCGTTCTAACGCGATTGACAAAATCGATTTTTTTATTTTGTCGATTATTGCATGACTATCATTGGGTATAGTATGTATCACCACACATGAGATGTGTATAAAGGAAAGGGAAGTCCCACTTTCTACACCATCAGAGTAAGAATGAGTGCATACTCTTATGTCCATACATAAATAGTTGCTAAGGTGAGCAAAACTTTATTTCTTCAGACGTGCACATAGTAAGATTAAAATGCTTGTGATAAGTGAAATGATTTAACCGTTGAATGGAATAAAATTGTATAATTGTATTGCTATGAAGCTTTAAGAGCCACTAAACAGTCGAAAATTACTGATTTTTTTGCCACGCAAGGGGAGTCACCATATAAAAAATGTTAATTACTAAAGCTGCTATAAATGCCACTAAATGAATTTTTATTTTATTGTAATACATATGTGTTCTCTTTTTACTTTTGAAAACTTTTGCCATTTGAATAAACCTTTTTATGTTTTTGAAACTAAAAAATTTAAACACTAAAAAATTGTTGTATGCATTTTTCGAAGTCTAGGAACGTAACCCCTCATTTTGTATGGAAATACATGGCTCGTTTAACGCGATTTCGCTTAACACGACGTTTTCAAGGAACGTAACCCCCGCGTTAAGCGAGGGCTAGGTGCATATATGTTTGATATAAATATACATACTTTTATATAAAATGTACATTAACTATTTTTAACAAAAACTTTTTGACAGGTTCAATTTTAAATAATTTTGTTTAATATTCCCTTCACTTATTTACCTTTCACAAGTCCTATGAGTAGAAGTACTAAATGATAAACATTTAAGAATAGTGGAGTAAGCTTCGAGTTTCAGCAAATTGTTAAACTGTGCCTTGAAAATCCCTCACAACGAAGCTCGATAGTAGACGGTCTCTACTGCATTTTAGACAGACAGGCAGACAGGACATATTTTCCACTTGTGGAAAGGGAAAGACAGAGCTGAAGCTAAATGCAGCGATTGCCTCGAAAACCGGTGACGCTAATTGGAGTAGCGATGCAGTCGTCTCTGTTTTAAGTACGAAAAGCTGGCGCACATAAATCAATTGAGCAGCAGAATCACAGAGACGTAGACAGCAATATCACTTAGGCCACTAAAGAGCAGCCAATAAAGAGCGCATAAAAGATTAGCAGCCAGTAACAGGAGTAGCAGTTCAGATGTTTAGGGCAGTCATGCAGTTCACGGTAATTTTGTTAACAATATAACGGTATATGAGCTTTCAACGCCACTGCCACAATCACCAACTTACACTCACAAACGCACACATACGTAACAATGAACGCAAACTAAACTGCGCCCAAGCCGCCAGCCACAACATGGTAATGGGCAGGAGTATGGGTAAGGGCATGGGCATAAAAATGGCGCCGAGTACAGAGCAAAGCGGCAATTGCCGGCCCTCCTGACTGTTGGCGAGGCAGTGAGCCACACAGCAACTACATGAATTTTGAATGAACGCCACCGCCACGACAACAACAGCTTCGCATCAAACTAAAGTGGTGTTTAGACGTTGAAACAAATTTGAGAAACTCGACCTAGAGTAGATCTTTGCAATTCTTACTATTCACTATTCACTAAATGAAATATACTTTCTTTTTAATATACATAAATGGGAAATGTGTTGGTTTAATAATCTACATGAAAGCATATCAATTGATTTCATAAATATTCTGAATATAAATTCATTGTTTCCCCAAAAAGTCAGTCAGATATTTAAAACTGACAAGAATGTTCTAAACAGAACGCCACCAAAATTGTATGGGGCCTGGTTTTAACTCAAAGAGCCAACAGGAATCCCACAACGCGTGTTCATTCCAGAGTATATGAATCGGTTCGAATTACGGCTCTACCATTATCGCATGAGACATGATTTAAAAAGTTTCTTACAGTCCTACAATTCTATAAGAGTGGTCTCATATATAAATGGCCAAATCTGCATGAAACTGCCAATTCGCAACATAATAAAAATTTAAAAAAATATAAAAAATTTAAAAATATGTAAATATAATAAAGTTATGAAATAAATGTTACAAAATGAGGCCAAAGTGTTCTATAAGAATTGTTTCCCTAAATCTATAATATTTACGAGATCCGCTATATAAATACTATATTTCGGAGGAAATTTGAATTCTTTAAGCAACATTTAATACAAAATCTTTCTTTGCTTTTATTTAAATCAAAATAATTTCAAATTGTTATTGCCGCTGGCAACCAATCAGGCTGAGACTCTATAAAGCTTTTTAACAGAAGAATTTCAAACCAATACTAATCTTTGACGACAGACAGGCTATTTTTTAAAAACGTCAAAAAACGATAAGTTCTTTTTATAAGTTAATTATAATGGAATTTTTTGACTTTAGATTCAGAAAAGTGTATCTCTTATTTTTGTTTGTTGTTAGAAATATGAGATGAAATGCTATTATAAGTTTGAGAAATATATTTCACCGCCTGAACGGCCCCAAATACCCGCTCCTTGTACGCAGCCACATACTATACTCCTTATTTCTCGCTTCTGGTCTGGTATTTTCCTTTTTCTGCTGACACAAGTCGTCGCCGTAGTTGCTCTTGTTGTTGTTGTTGCTGCTGTCGCCGCGCCAACAGCAACTTCCGACGACTACTTAGAGACGCCTAAACAGCTTCATTACTTTTATGAGGCAACGGCAGGAGCGACTCCCGCCGTGCTGCGCTTCGTTGGCTGCCCGCCATTGTCTGTCGGCACAAAATTGGCGTAAATTTGTTTGTGTAAATTAAATGAAATGACTGTAAAAATGCCAAATAAGCTAATTTGCGGTTAGTTTTCAAAAATGAAGAATAAAAA